CACAATAAATTTTCAAAGCTGAAAATTGCTTTCTTTCCTCGGCAAATGACACAAGCTCAAAAATCACTTGTCACAGTCAAGAAGAAATACACTCAAATCTCGTTATAACGAAGTTGAAGGGAGCCACAATTATTTTGTTATATCCATTATTTCATTATATCCATTACAGTCGAGCCTGCTTATATTGAACCTGAGCGTGACACGGCATCCGTTCGCTGTATCCCGAAGTTCGTAGTAAATGAAACACAGCTTTTAAAAAAAGTTGCGAGTGAAAACAAACTTTTTTTGCCCCCAAAAGTCCGTGATGCACGTGTTTCGAAGAGCAGAAGCGATAAGGGCGGTCTCGAGTTCATTTAAATTGGAAGGGCGCTCGTTCGCCGAGGCCCTTGGCATAAGCTGCATGAGGCACTTGCTCCAAAGTTTCGTTGTTCTCGCAATCCGATTCCTCCAAATCGCTCTCGTCGCGTATTTCGTTCAGAATGCCCCAATCCGTGCACGGTTCCACAGTGTCAGCATCATCATCGGCCGTAATTACTATGGCAACAGATGTCCAACCCGCTCTCCCAGGTCGGAGCCGACGACGCGCTGCCACGAATCGCCGCCGCAGTTCGGAAGCTTCAGGCTCTGCATCGGGCTTGACGTCGACAAAATCGGCCTTGCGAAAACAGTTTCTCGTGCATGTAGTTGTCACTGCTGCCCACGAAATATTCACCATCTCCACAGCTGAATACCGGGACGCCCGAAGCGGCAAGTTCGCTGCTATGTGGTCAACAGCTATGAGCAAGCGCTCTGCAACGCGGCACCTAACGCGCGGATTAAGCTCGAGCCAACTGGTCACACTTTTGACGTTTTGTTGAGCGGCAGAAAAAAAAAAGCGTGCTAGCCCTCCCGTTGGCCATCATGACCACACACGCACACCAAAAGCGAGCAAGACGCACACACGCAACACACATGCCAGAACGCGTGAAACAGCTCTGGGCCCATTTCCAGTTAGAAAACGAAACTAATTCGAGCCAGCCTGGCGGGCGTGGCGGAGTGGTGGAGACAGACGAAGGGGTTGTGATCAACAGAGGAGAGCAGACTTGCGAGGGAAGGGCAAGGAGTTGCGTTAAAGAGAGGGTAGGATGCGGCGGAAGGGCGACCTTGAAAACCAAAACACACGAGAAGAAGGCAGGTTGGGTAGCTTGCTTGAAAGGTCCGCGAAACTCGCACGTAGAAAAACTTGGAAAGAGTGCCTGCGCGCGCAGAAGTCAAAGCACGGCTGCCTCGATCGGCACACGCGGGTGTTCGAAGAATCGGCGGCAGTGGTCAAAAAATCATTTTGTTGCGCCGGCGGGTTTGCGTGGCCTCACAAACTTCGATATTTCGCGATTCGTTCGCACAAATTAACAGCCGTTTTCGCGCTTCCGCACGCGCGCGGAAGGCATGCTGAGTCGAGTGCGAAGTGAGCGACAACAAGTCCTAAACACGAAACGAATCGCAAATTATCAGAGTTGGTGGGGTAGCGTACGCACGTGCACTAGATGCAGACTATCGGATACAGTCGGTGGCCGACGATGATGGCAAATGGTCTGGTCACTCCAGGCCAGCGACGCCAACGACAGTACCAGCGATTAAAACAGGGTAGATGGCCGAGCGGTCTTCGAAATATTGGTGGCAGTATGAAAACGCGGGCCTCGTCTGGCGATGCGGGGCGCTCAGAGTAGCGGGGGACAAAGGACAGAGGAGTTCGTAACAAAAAGCAGTCGAGGCATGGAGGAAGGAAACAACTTTCCTTTCTCCATGGGTTGGGGAGAGCGGAAACTAGAGCGTTGCGGAGGCAGAGTCAGCGTTTAACAATAGGAATGTATGGGCACCTGGTCGATGCCTGATCGGTGGTTGAAATTGGTTTTCCGGGAAGTCGGCAGAGCGCCGACTCTGTTCGCTGTAACCGATCAGCGGCGCTCGGAGACGTTCGTTGTAACTGCGATTTTGTGCCATTGAACCAATGTATATTTTCACGGCCACGCGGATATTGTTCGTTTTAAGCAAAAGTTCGTTTTAAGTGGGGCCGTTATATGCGGGCTCAACTGTATAACAGTTTGTGGCAATGTATGCTCAGATGGGCGCACACCTATAAATAAGCATGCAAAGAAGGAAACCGCCCTGCAACCCGATTTTTTTCGGGGCACGCGGCCACGCGTGCCCCGAAAAATAAACTCAGTCGAATTTCATTAATTCGAACTTTCAGGTAATTCGAACTCACGCTGAGGTCCCGTCAAAGCTATGTGTATTCCAATGGGCGAAAACGCCCTGTAATTTGAATGCGCAAGCACTTGCGACTGTTACTTCGAACATACCGCGCTCCGAAAATTCTCTCAGCACCATGCCCAAATCCCGCGGCGGCACCTCTCAACGCTGCGTGTGAAGAAGGAAAAGAAGAAAAGGAAAGAAAAGACTGTGGCGGATTGTTTGCTCTCTCTCAAATGCCGATCTGCGACGCGCCTGTTCCACGCTTCTCCCTTTTCTGTCTCTGCGTGTAGAGACCCTTCTCCTTTTAAGGCCGCGTGGGGAGAAAGAGAGAGAAAAAAAAAGCTGCCTCAGAGAGTCCTCCTTTCTCGGTGCAGAGAGTAGCAGCCATGGTAGCAGCAGAGACACAGTCGTTGCCGTCTTGAGAGGGCAATCGCTTTGCACCACGGCGCACTTCTCAGTCATGTGACCCGCTGAGCACTTCCTCAATTCTCTCCGCTGGCTGTGTGAGGAGAACGGCTCTCTCGGCCGCGCAGGGCGTGGCTGTAAGGCCGGCGTGGGAGTTTTGAAAGAGCCGCGCCGAACAAACGCCAAACTCCGCAGAAAACGATATAAGAACCCCGCTGTTGCGTTCTTGTGTACTGTGTTTTCCTGGCTGTTACGTCATTTTCGGCCGGTCCCGGCACAGCTCCCATAGGATCCAATGCATTGGGAACCCCGCTGCTGCGTCGCAACTGTGGGACCGTTCTCACATCATACGTTGCGAAGTGCCACGACGCGCTGGCCCAAGCGGCCATGTTGTCTTTCATGTAGCTTGGCTTGGCGGCTTGACGATGGGATTGGCCGCCCAAAGTGCCGGGGGCAACACCTATGACGTATTTTAAGTTCATGCAAGCAAAAGCATGACCTTTGAGATCCGTATTTGCACTCTAAGAAAGATTGTGTCTATGACACGTTGGGGCCCTAAAATTGGTTTTGGCATCTGTAAAAGTAAGGTCTCAGAGACCTGTTTTTGTTTTCTTTGGATGTCACGCTGGCTTAAAATTATCGCCACCGGGTTGCGGAGACGGCCCGATGCAAAGGGTATAGCCCGATCGCCATCACCATTGCCCATGTGTGCCCGTGCTACCCGTGCTTGCTGCGGTCTTCTCGCATTGCCTTTGTTTCGTGTCGGCCGTTGCACAGGTTATACGAGTGTGCAGCATAGTGCCTTTACACTTAGATGACACAACACAAGCTGTTGAAGACTGTGCGTTCCCAGACTGCGACAAACTGAACACTGCCATGGAGATTGTTGGTGCCAGTGGAATCGCATACAGTGACTACGCTTCTGTTGATGACTCTGTTGTCACCTCCGCGATGTTATCCATCGACGACATCGTGGCCGAGTGCGCCGATCCGTGCGCCAGTGACGAGGAGGTTGAGGAGGAGGTGGAGCGGATACCAGAGCCAACGTCCTCATCGGCCGTAGCGGCACTCGGCACTTGATTTATTGCGAAGATATGTGCGCACCAGTGACAATGGCGAGAGCCACATGGCACTACAGGTGCTTGAAAAACGCCTTGTGCTTGTCAGGCGTGAGAAGATGCGCCAGGCAACGCTGCATGATTTTTTCAAGCGAAAGAATAAAAAATAAAACTATGTGCAGTTCACCACTACTCTTAGTTCTCAATTTTTCGCGTTTCTCGGCTCTTGCGTTTTGGCTCCTACCTTTTTTTTTAACGGTCCCATGAAAAACGTATCAGCAGGGTTCTACTGTACTTAACAAACTATGGTCGTTTTTTTTTATAGACCTTCTGATAGACTAATTTAGTTTGTTATATCTATTTACCCATTAATTTTACTTCTTAACAATGAGGTTTAAAATGCATGGTTCTCAATGGAGTTTTCAAGGGGAATTTCATTTACTTTGCTATATCCATTGTATGGTCATAGCCCGTTACATTATAACGAGGTTTGAGTGCATACAGCTCTGGTCACAGGCATTGGCTGATTTGAGCGCGGTGTGCTCGTCGTTACCGGGGCCGCCGCTTTGTCCACGAGTACGTGCGCGATCGCACTGAAAAGCCACATATTCGAAGGAAAAAAAAAAGAGGTCTCAAGGTCACGAGGTGCGTGTGCAGTATTCTCTTTCGCTGTGCCATACCTCCCTGCTTAGCTTACAGCTATTTCGAAGAGGAGAAGAGAGAATACAATTGCAGCGTGCGACAAATTTTTGGAACTTCGCTTGTACTGGACTGATTCTAGAAACTTTGCGGCAGTAAAATTGTGAGGTAACAAACATGTTTACTGGCTCCATGGCTACTTGAAAAAGTGTTGCAGGGCCCCTTTAAAGGAACATGTTACCCTTAAATCAATTCTTCATTTTATTATGCTTGTTATGGTGGCTTATATGATCCAAGTATAATAAATTTTAAAACATTAAGTTTCTTACAGGTTATCACTCGTATCCTACCGAAACTACTACTCAAGGTTGTTTCGGCTTCCTTTGAACGAAAAAATAAATGACTTTTGCATAGAGCCCCTATTTCAATTCAAAAGAAATATTGTGGAGGTTAGTTGGGTCATTATAAATATTCCTCCTTTTTTTTTATATCTCATACATACCATTAAAATTCGATCCTAAATTATTTGACCAAAATAACTATTTGCTTCAAACCGAAAATTCACTATTCGCACAAGCCTAGTCAGGTCAATCTATAATTAGCAGAGTTCCAAGGCACCAATAACCTCATTTAGCAGGAGAATATTTTTAGTGGCGCTGCCTTTACCTGGCACTTGAGGCACAGTAGTAGTGGGCACAGCAGGATTGGGCACAGGCTGTTCTCCAGTTGGGGCCACTTGCTCTGAAGACTCTGAAGGAGGCTTTGCCTCTGAAGATGTGGATGGCTCAGGAGAGACAGGCTCTTCTTCATCAAGGTCCTTCTTTCCTTCTTCACGCTTGTCTTCAAGGTCCTCAGGATTCCTGATCAACATAATGACACATGAATTAATCATACCATTCAAAAAGGAATACTTTAGAAGAAAGAATACTTTAGAATACTTTAGAAGACCATCTTACAAAGAAGGTCAATAAATTCACACCTTGTAAATCAAATCCTTTTATGATTCTAACTATAAATGGCACTGTAAAACCACACTTTATTGAGGTCCATTAATTAAATAACTCAATATTTTGCCTACAAGTCAAGTACACTACGCTTCGTCTGAACAGCGTGCCACCACCACGGCCAGTTCTTGCACTGGGCAGTTCTTGGACTAGACTTTCCCTACTAATGAACTATGGAATGGAGGGACTACCCTGCGGACTAATTGCCACTCATCCGGCTGCAAAGTGCATTTACATGAAAGAAGAGGCGAGCAGACAACCAGACCAAGACGGCAGCGCTGTTCCAGTGATGAAACACACATGTGGCAGTGCTGAAACACATTCGCCGATATAGAGCGCAAAAGACATTAATGCTCAATTGTCTTACCACAAATGTCGATTTCAAAAAAACTGATGCCACACGCATGTTTTCTATGCCATGGAACATCTAGGAGAAAGGTGTAAAAAACGACATACAACAAGCACTGCCAGCATAAATTACTTATTTTTGTCACGATATCATCACTTAGTGTTTCCGTGGCGATTGCAGAAGTGACACCTTTCTGCAGAGGTGACACTGTCTTCCGATGTTAATTTTTGCAAATTTGAATGCTTGTACGCACACCGCATCACATGCCTCGATTCTCGGACACGTGTTTCTCAGACACGTAAGACTGCATGATCAGCACTCTTCGCGCTAGTGTAGCCCATGAAGAAGGTTGTTTCAGCTGTAAGAGCTAACCCCAAACACCTATTTTATAGCAAAAAAACTGCATTATTACTGCAATAGCAATTATATGGACACTCTCGGTGGGTTTTTGCCGTCGCCGCCCCAAACAAATCCAAATTGATAACATGCCTCCCCCCACCGTAACTTTCACGAGATGGTAGAAGCGCCCGAGCGCTGCTGAAGCAGAGATCAAATGAGTCGGTCTACCCCTATCGCTAGGAAAGAGCATAAGATAGTATCTCCCACGTGTTAAAACTGCCGTCGAATGCTCAAACAGAAAGTAAACCACCCATCTTGAACAAGCATGAAACAATGCGGGGAGGGGGGAACAATTATGCATTGGTTGAGTAGAATAAACATTTTTACAAAGCATTATTGAATGTAATTTAACGCAGCAATAATGAACATTTAACATGCTGTTTAAACAAAAACGAGGCACGAAACGCAACCACAGGTACATATATGAGTGTGAACTAACAAGTGCCCCATTTGTTACTTCGCTGTGCTTGAAAAGCACACTATTTTCGCAAATGGTGCCTGTCCAGCGAGTAAGGTGATCTTTGTGCACCCAGCTACTAAGCACAATCATTCCAGTCAAAGTGGAGGGCACACAATTTTTCGCACTGAAGGATAACGCGCGTGCACAAGCATCTACCCCCCCCCCCCCCCCCCCCCATTCACAGGGCAAAATACGCGTGGGAAATAAGAGCGCGTAGGCACTGGGCTCTGAGCGTGTTGCAACTCTTTTAGACGCGAAGCTCTTCTTAGTCTACCTTGTCACTGGTCATGCGTAACCGAGAAAGAAAAGAAGGCAAAAGAAATGGATGACCAGTTCTCGTCTTATTTCCTAGATGGCGTTACTCTGTCACTACTCTCGATTGGCTGCTGCGAGCGCTTTGCCTAAGTGCGCGGAGAACGAGTGCCTGTCTCAGTCTCCTGGATAGTAGCAGTACATGGCGGATCACTGGTGGGGCATGGACGAAGCAGAGCGGCTGGCACATTGAAGACGCTTGCGCTCGGCTTCTTTGGCTCGCATCTCGCCAGTGTTACCCGCGCGCTGTCTGCGTTACCGAATGTGATCGAACGCATAGACGTATGCACAGATGGACGGGTGGACACACGAACGGACGCTTCGCCCCACTCATCATCATTCACTTCGTGGATATGATGTAATTTTTTTTCTTTCATGAGTTTTCATATGCATATATACATATACATGTACGGTGAATGACAGTGGCGGCGGCGACAGCAACAAAGCAGCAGAGACTGTCCATATAATTGGCAATAAAAAAAAAGCAAAGCTGAACCTCGTCGGCAACCACATCATGCGCACACAAGTAAAACTATCCATGCGCGTACGGCGCCGAAAACGAAGAGTGAATGAAACGGTTCGGTAAAGAACCCTCCATATGCAGCGCAGCCCCAAATATGTGACACCAACTAAAAGTGTGGCACTGTCAATGCACAAAAGTATTTTTTTTATTTTGGTTTGGAGTGGGGGAGGGGATGCAGCAGCAAGAACGGCGGCAACGCCGGCTCGTGGGGTGCAGGCCCGCCTGCCCGCCTCGCGCTCACCCTCTCGCAATAACGAGCCCTCGCTCTCGCCTGGTGCGCTGTGCGCTCGCCGTCGCCGCTTCACTCTTTGTAAGTGGCGGTTCAGCCGCGAAAGATGCATGCTTGTACCAAAATGCAGAGCGAAATTCCAAGATTGTCCGAGTGGAGAACTTGTTATATCAAGGTTGTCTCCCGCTATTTGTTACATAGAGGTCACAAATACATGTGCTTCTACGGAGCAGAGGCGGAGAACAGAAAAACTTCATTATATTGAGGAATTCGTTAAATAGAGGTTCTTTATAAGCAGGTTTAACTGTATAATGAAAAATTCCTGACTCTCCAACAGCAGTCCATAGGAGTCAAAGCATAAACACCCTCGCCACAATGAACACTTTACCCTCTGCCCTATCACTTCAACGAAATTTGACTATGCATTTCCAAACTCAGATATTCAATGTCATGCAGTAAACACAATCTTTAACATTTTGATGCATTTCCAAAACAGAAAAATATGTCTACAAAGTCTAAAACACATGTTGAACCCCCATAAACTGCTACTGTTTACTAAGCATGAAGGCCGCCATGGCTCAATAGCGATGGCAACAGCACTGCCCTGCTTTTGCCACTGGCTAGCTACTGAGCCACAGACGATCGATCCGAAGCTGAAGCTCAGTTCATAGTTTGCTGCATGCTGCTGCTGGGTGCCATCGCGGAACAATGTCTTTTCTGATGCCAACGCTTTTAGTTCTTCTTGTGCTTGGTCATTGGTCAGAGCGATTTGTTCATCGCCGTTATCAACAAAATCAGCCAGCCGCAACAAGTGGATGATAAAAATAACATAGAATAAAGCATAAGTCACCGCTTTACGATTTCACGCCAATATCTGAGCGTTGTCAGACACATTTTGACGACAGGGTTAGCGTGTTAGTTCAAATGTTAGATTTGTTCACGAAAGCCGTTGTAGTCATTGTTTCAGCGTGCTTTTCAACATGGCGTCACTACGCATGTATAAGAATTGCATCCTGACGCTACTGAGAAAGACAAGGAAGCAGCCGACACTTTTTTAATTTTGGGAACAAATGTTTCTGTGTTTTGCTAGGTCAGGTCAGCTGTACTTTTCCGATTTCACTACAACGAACTTTTGCTTCAACGAAATTTTTTCTGCACCCTGTCAGTTTTTTTGTAGTGGGGTTCAAACGTAGTGCGCATATATTCGTGAATTCAGCGCTTGTGTTATCAACATGGTATGCTGTAGTCGGAAATAAAATTTTTTCGAAATTTTAACCCGCATAATAGGCGCACCCCTAACTTGAATCTGGACTGTTGGGGAAAGAAGTGCACCTTTTATGTTAGTAAATAGAGTGCCGAGTTTACTCTCTCCAACGCAGCCTCGCACAGCGCAGAGGCCAAGTTGTGTGTGCTAACACAACCCATCAATGCAAAAGAGGAACAGACATGTTTATTGTCTTGAGAACATGTGCTACGCGGAGACCTGTCTTTCAAGAAATGCTGTATCCGAGATACTATTGGACATTATGCAGTCCTGAGTGATAATGACCTCATAATATTGCTCCTAATTTTTTTTTTATTTCTTGACTTTACACATTTTGTACATTAAAAAACAGCAATAAAGCAATCGAACCACCTCCAAAAGCTTTATTTTCGAAAAAAAAAAAAAAACTTACACTCAAATGGTCAAGTTTGGACTGCTTTGCATCAATTACAGTTAAACCAGCTTATAACGAACCTCCATATAATGCATTCCTCGATACAACGAAGTTCTTCTATTCATTGTTACTCCATAAAAGCACACGTATTTGCAATCTCTATGTAACAAAGTAACAGCGGGAAGCATCCTTCATATAACGAATTTTCACTACGGACAATTAGAAATATTACCTTGAATTTTGTTATTTTCGCACGAATCTTTCATGATTGCCCAACCACCGACAAAGCGGCAGCGGCGCATACAGCGGGCACGTGGCATCGGCAACTCCGAGGCGAAAGAAAGCGCTCGTTATTGCACGTGGGTTCGCGCCCAGCGAGCTATCGTTGCCGCCGTTCTTGCCGCCGCGAGCGCATGCATAGATGTGCCCTCTTCCTCCCTCCAAACCAAAAAAGAAAACTACTTTTGCGTAGGCAGTGCCATGTTTTTAGTTAGCGTCACATATGTGGGGCCTCGCTGCATATGGAGGGCTCTTTACAGAATAGTTTTCCGCAGTACCCGTGTCGTTCGCGCTTCGCTTTCGGCTGCGTCCATGGTTTCACTGTTTGCACATAATGACCCCCCTCCCCCCCATATCCCCTCCCCCCCCCCCCCCCCCCGACGCCATTCAGCTTTTCAGTTCAACTTTTTTTTATTCAGACAACCGTGTCATCACTATCGAAAGTATGTCAGATTAGGTGCTGATGGAAATTCTCCGACACCACGGTAACAATGACGGAGGTTGACTCGTCACGCGCTTCCGTCTTTAGGCACGAGTTCGCGAGACCGTAGCTTTCAGGATTAGCCGACTATCTCTGCCAACAACACAATGGTGCGTTGAATCCAATGCAATGAATGCGATAGCAACAAATTGTAATGTTATACTAA